GGCATAGCCGATGATGTTGCCATGGCAAACGCTTCTATGCAATATCCGCTGCAAGAATACCAATTTACTGAACCCGTAGGTTTGGGCCAAGAACGAATGACTGCGGAAGTCACTTATTCACCGGCGCTGAATAGCGCTCACACGCATATGCGTCGCGTCTCGCATTCTGCACGCGTGCTCGATGCACAACAAGGGATGACAGTGGGTGCTGATATGGAAACCGCATATGTGCAGCAAGGGCACGGTTATATGTCACAGAATACAATGCTGCAGGGAAGCTCAGTAGATAGACGCATGGTTGCGACACCTTTGCCATCGTGGTCAGTTCAGCAAACTTCGGTCAATGCCGCTGACTTGCGCTCTCAGATGGCTACTCCGTTGCCGCCGCTGGAAATTCGTCAGTGTCCAGTTTTACAGCCGGGCATGGCTCACTCCCTTTCTCGCGTGGAAAGCAGGTCCATGCATACTCCTGTCCAACATTTGCAAAGCAGAATGTCGACGCCTGTTGCTCGCGTGGACAGTAGGCACAGCTATATGGTAGCCGAGCCTCAAAGTCAACAGTATCAGCAAATGCGGTCTGCTTCAGTCGTACATGTTTCGGGTGGAGATAGTCGTACGTCTTTAACACCGTTGACTGGTTCTAGCGAATCACTGCATGATCAAAATTCTTCATTTGCGACTCCAACAAAGAAAACCAGAGCTCGTCGAAAAGTTGTGATGGCTTCCGGACCAAGTTCTTCGCAGTCGCTGCCGGCCGTAAACTTGCAAGGTCAGATGTCCGCTACTCCCATTCCCGGATGGCAGCATCAGCCAACGAAACACAATGTGACACTTGTAGGACAACCCAGCCATGTACAGAACAGGGCTGTAATGTCAGCTTCAGTAACTCCATTGCAAAGACAGTTAACCACGCCTGCACCCGATCATCGTGAAATGATGAGTTCAACTCCTTTACCTGGTTGGGGATCTGGTCAGAGTTCCCAGGTTGAGCATAGCCCTTTAGTATCGTCTTTGCCTCCGCTTTCCCAGTACACGTCAGTACAACAATCGCGTCAGGTGAAAACTTCTTATCCAGTGACGCAAGATAGACGGCTTGTAACGCCAGCGCCTCAGTCTTGTGAAGTGTTACAAAGTTCATACGAGCAGCCACAGTTGTATACGCAATCCCGAGACATCATGACTCCAGCTTCGTTTGTTCGACCGGAAAGTGTGGCAGTTCAATACCCACAAGGACAAGTTATGGCTGGTTCAGCGGAATTATACTCGCAGTCAGCTATTCCTTCCTACCAGTGGTCGGAGGCTACTTCCCTGAATGTTTATCAGCAGGGCCAGTATGTGCAGCAACAGTCCTATAATCAGCAGTCACAGTTTACTCAACAAATAAACACCGGTAATCAGCAAGCGGCATTTGACTCGCAATCTTCACAGTATGTCACTCATTCCGTTATTCCCCAGCAGACTCAGTATCCCCAAGGTAGCGGTGGAGGACAAAAAGTATCTGCCTTTTCACAGCCATATAACTACGTGCAACAATCCTACTCGATACCGACCTATCAGCAACAGTCCCCATTCTCTCAGGATTCTTATGCTGCAAGTGGCTACCCACAACGCTCGCCATATGCACAACAGCAACAACCGGCGGAGCAACAGTCACAGCGGAAACAGCAAGCGCAGTCTCAGTCACAGCAGCAGAATCAAGCAATTCAGCAACAACTCAGTCAACCTGCACAGCAGCCGCAGCACCATCAGCAGCAGACAGTTCAGCGTCAGATTTATGAGAATTCCGCGCAATATACAGGATTCATCCCAACGTACACCACCCAGAATGCTTGTATGCAAAGTGTGCATCAGATAACAAGTTGCGAGGTCGCTCAGCATACACCTGAGATCCGCCCACAAGCGCAAGCTAGTTATTCTCAACCTATGTTGGATGTTAGTAACTCTTCCACCGGCACTATCGGCGAGCCTTTGCAAAATGAAGAAGATATCGTTTCTAGAGAAGCAAACGTGAGTCTCAGCGACACCAACTTCAACAACTTATCAGAAAATCCTATGGTAAATACCTTAGTGGAAGATGAAGTCACTTTCGGAGTTACTGAAGTGCCTCCTCCGCCTCGAAACGATTCTGAAGCAACAGTTCCTGCGCGCGCATCACCTGCTTCTGGCTCGCCAGACCTCATTGGAGGCGAAGATGAGACAAATTCACTCATTCCCACCATTTTCTACTCGACCAATCAGAACGAACTGTCAGATCTACGCATACAAGACTCCCCAATGGAAAAGGGTTTGAACTGTCAACACTTCCGCTTCGATATAATTTTGGCAATGAAACATCACCGAATTGGTAAAGAAGATTACGAACGTACGCTGCAGGAATTAGATCAGATGGAAAAAGAGAAGTGTGTTGGACCACTGGGAGATATGCTCATGAAAAGGTTGGGGCTGAAACGACAGTCTCAGCAAAGCCATGGAGGAAAGTTCAGCGTGGACGAGCTTGTGGCTGCATTTGCTGCCAACGCCAATGTACGGGACCGTAGTAAAAAAATACCGGAACGTCGAGGAAGCTCAGAATTATTCAGCGAAATCTTGAACGAAATTACGCACCCATCGTATGCTGCTCCCTCGTTGACGACTGAGGCATCCGCTGCTCATCATTCGAACAAGCCAAACATTTTACAGTCAGGAGATGCGAACGATCTTGGCTTCCTTCTCTCCGATGACGTAATTGCTGAGTTTGACTCCATGTCGAAGGCAGCGAAGTCTGCGCAGATTGCTGAATCTGTACCATACAGCTCTGCCACCGCTT